AGCCTCGAGCGCCCGCCGAGGGTCCTGCAGGAACCGGCTTTGCGAGACGGGCGAGAAACGGCGGCGGCCCGCGGTTGGGGGAAGGCGCCCACCGGCCTCGGGCTCCGGGCTTTCCTTGACTTTCCTCCTAGAGAGCCCCAGCCGGCCACGGACCGAAGCGGGCGGCTGGGCGTTGGGGACGCCGCTGGGTCCCGCCTAGAAGCAACCTCCAGAGCAGCCGGGAGGGGGCGCCGGCACGCAGCTGGGACAGCGCCCGAGACAAACATGGCGACTCCGGGGCCGGCCCCTCCCTCCGACCTGCGCACTGGAAAGACCCGCCCCTCGCTCCGCGGCCGCCCGGGAGAGGGCTGTTCCCGGAGTCACATGACCTGCCCCTCCCCGCGCGTCCGAATGGCGCCGCCCTTGCCCGGCCGGTGGCCGCCCGCCCGCTGAGAGGAGGAGGAGGCGGAGGCGGAGGAGCCCCGCCGGCGCCGCGCAGGTGAGGGGCGAGGGCCGCGTCAGGTCCCCCGCCCGACCGTCCGCCTGGGGGAGGAGACCCGGGACTGGACCCGCAGCGGCCCCACCGCCCGCCCGCGGACCCTCTAGCGCCGGGCTGGGGGGCGCCGGGGGGACGAGAGCGGGCCCGTCCGGTGTCCGCCGCGCGTCCCCTTCCATGGGCTGCGAGGCGGCGAAGCGGCGCCGCGTTTCCCTTTCGCCCTGCGGGGGCCCCGCATTGTGTGCCCGGGAGCGGCCGCGTGGCCGGGGGAGGGGGGTTGGGGGCTGCCCGCTGCTTCCCGGGGCTGCGGGCGGAGAGCCGCGTCTGGGAGCCTGAAGGCAGGAAGGAGGGAGCCGGCCGCCGCCGCCGCCCGGGCACCGCAGCGAACGGCCTGCCCGGCTCTCTGCCGGCCCCACCGGCGGCTCCGCCTTGCCGCTTGTAAAGAGCAGAGAGCGAAGCCGCTTCTGGCCGGACGGCCGCTCTGCGGGGCTTCGCTTGAGCGGGCGGCCCGGCTGGGCTTATTTCCTGCCTTGTTGCCCTGAGCGAAATGCGGGCTCTTAATGACCGCTCTGGGCGGCTTGTTTTCTGGGACCCCCGCAGCTGGGGCAGAGCTTGACCGCCGCCACCCTAAGACCGGAGGAGGAGGAGGAGGAGGAGGAGGCGGCGCCGTGACGGGGAGGGGCTGTTCCAGGGAGCCTTCCCGAGTCCGGACCGGCCGGGGCGAGGGTGCCTGGGGCCGCATCCCGGGATCAGCATCGGAGCTTCTGTGCCGCCACCTGGGCCCTGACCAACCCAGAGGGGAGGAGCAGCCTCCCTGCTGGGACAGATAGGAATGGCCCAGGCAGGGGAAGATGCCTCTTCTTGCAGCGTGGGAACATTAGAATTGTCCCCAGGGATTTAAGACGAGGAGAAAGAAGTGCTGCCTCTCCGAATTGCCAGCAGCCTGTGGGGTTCCCATCCACTTGGCTCCAGGGAGAGTTGGAGGCATCAGAATCCCTGGATGGCAGTTACTGGAGAGACAGACTGGCTTTCCCTGCCGTCGCTCTTGGGCCTCCTGGATCAGAGTGGACCCAAATTGCTGGCCAGGTGGCTTTGGACCTTTCAGCACGGGATCCCTGGTGTCCATCTGAAATCCATGTGGAGTTCTCTTTTCCTCCCCACCCCCACCCCTCTGGCCACTGCTGGTGGTGGCATTTGGGAGTGAGGAGCTGCCTTGATCAGTGCTTTTGAGATCCAGCTATTTCCAGCTCAGTTTGCCAAGTGGTGCAGGGTTGTCTGTTCAGAAAACCAAAGGCCTGCTGGGGCCCAGAACATGGTCCCGATTCCAGGGTGCGCTCAGTCTGGCAGTTCCCTTGGCCACTGTTGACAGTGGCAGAACAGCGGGCCCTGAACTGTTGTGCTTCTCCCTCCCAGCAGCTGTTCTCAATAGCGCTGAACTTCTGACTACGGAGGAGCCTAATTGGCATCTTGCACACAAAACAGAGAATCCACTTTTCTCCACAGACTTGATTGCTCAAGATTCTCTGATGCAGTTTGTGTTTACTTTTCTTCCTGGGAAGTCCATAAGCCTGGCCAGGTCCAGATGAAGTACTGACATCTGTCTCCTGTGCCCTTGCAGGGATGTCGAAGGTCAAACCTGTGCCTTCTGTTCAGAAATATTTGGACAAGGGAAGCAAATGTTGCAAAGTCTCTGCCGATCCCTGTTGACTCCAACGGGACCGGCTGCAATGCAGATTTGGCCTTGCTCAGCATGGAGGAAGGAAGTCAGTTCTCCTGGTTCTTGGAAGGGGAACCAGATATTTTCAAAGAAAACGCACTGTCTGTTCTGCTTTCTCAGTCCCTTCCCTGGAAACCAAACTGCTCCTTTCTGTGGAAACTTTTTAGGCTAACTGTTCTTCAGACGTGAATATGCTTGGATCAGAGCTGTTTGAGGGCCCGGCTGCTTTTCCCTGCCCACAAGAACAGACCTTTCTGCAGGCCAAAATATGCCGTTGGATTTATGTCTGCTTTGCCCTTGGATAGTTTGGCTCCGGTTGTGGGCTCAGATCCAGAGTACTTGTAAGTGGCCAGCATGGTGACCTATGTGGACATGTGATACCTGCTGTTTTGATGTGGATTTGATGAGACCAGGCATTAAGCTCTGCTTGGACTATGACAGTGATGCATGTTGGGAGTCACTTGGACTCGGTTAGAGAGATCAGAAAGCTTTGGGGAGAGAAAGCCAAGCCTGGTCTTCAAGACTGGGCAGCCTTCCTCGGAAAGTGATCTTGCAAAGGCATGCCCCACCCCCAAAAAGCAGGTAGTGGAGCTGTGTACCTTGCCTATGACTTTAAGCCAAACTCATGGGCACCGTGTTTTGCCATAGGCCTTGGGCTCCTAAGCACCTGGTCAGGTAGCTGTAGCTCACAGCAAGAGCTGGATGCGGCCTGGGTCCCTGGCACCTGTGACTTTTGCTGCTTTGGGTTGGTAGACGGAGCAAGAGAAGACCTCCACAACTTAAGGCCTTAAGGCCTGTTCTATTCCTGCTCCTGATTCTGCACAGCTGGCTGGGGGCTCACCCAGTTCAGAAATAGATCCCTGACTTTTCCTTCCTTGCTTGCCTCGGTTGCTTTGATCAGATGAAAGCTTCTGACTTGGTGGCCTCCAATGCTCTCCACCCAGCTTCTCCTTGAGCCACCCATTCCCCTCCCTCCATGCCCTTTCTTAAGCTCAGCAGGCCCAAATCTTAAAAAGGATTCTGACCCCAAATTCTGATTTTCTGGCTCAGCTTTCCTAGATAAATAGGTCGGTATATAATTGCTGTCTGTTTCAAAATCTGTTCACATAAGTGCTCCAGAAGCATTGCAGCTGTTTGGGTAGCTGGGCCAATGGGTGAACCACTTCCAACCAAGTGCTCTTGGTGGAACATCCCTATTGTGAAATTGCTCTGGGAGTGCAAAGGTTTGTGTGTTCGGCTGCCAAGTCATTGCTGATCAAGGCAATTGTGTGAGTTGGCCCTTGAAGCCAGTTAGAGGGGGAGTCTGGAGCCCAGTAGGGCAGAGAGGGGGAGGGGCACTTCCCTGGGGAAGGAGGAGGACCTCTTCAGTCCTAGTTTGGCAGTGAAATGTCTGCAAGAAAACAGCCCAGCTCCAAGAGCACCGAGGACCCCAGAGCTCTCCCCCTTGTAGGCTTTTCTTATTTATGCCCCGTAAGCAGCCAGGGCAACATCCACCCTCCACTGTGATGAAATAGTTACTTCCTGTGAAACTCCCCCTCTCGAGTCCCAAACGCTCTCTCTGCAAATAGAGCCACAGCTGGAGTATTTTGGCTAAAGCGGGTGCTGACCTGTTGTCCAGCCAAGCCAGGAGAGGTGGACAGGATGGCTGGCTGCTTCCTCCTTCCTGCTTCATAGCTGCCCTCAGGTCTGTGGTTGTCTCCTTGGTGAGCTTTGGCAAAGCATTTGTCAAGAGGCAGCTGTTTTGTGAAGCCACACAGATTGTCTGGTGCCAGGTCTCTGCTGGCCAGTCCCCCCCTCTGCATTATAGGGAGCCCTATCTGGGAGCCCTCCCCTCCCACTTCCTGCTCCCTTCCTGGGCCTGAAATCCACCACATGGGGCAGCCTTGCTTAATCTGTGGCCCAGAACGTGGCAGGCAGGAGGGAGGGGGGAGGGAATGTGTTGGGCTGGGCTGGGCTGGGCTGGGCTGGAGGCTGGGGGGGGAGGAGAGGTGGGGGAGCTGTTTGGCTTTCCAGCCTGCTCACCTGACTGCCTCACTCATGTTTCACACTGCAGCTCTTCAGTTCTTGTCAGTGAGGGAACCACCTGGCAGGTGTCTCCCCCCCCCCCCGCCCCGCTTGTCTCTGTGACCTTAGATCAGCCTCCCTCAAGATGCTTCCTGAGCTTCCAGAGACAGCTTTTAAATGCCTCCCAAACACAGAGCGCCTTCTCCTCTCGGCCCCTTGACTTTCTCCTCTTGCCTGGTGGGCCACTAATGCAATGGGGGGGGGGCTTTGGGTGGAGATTTCTCAGGTGTTGTGTCTTAGAAATCTCCCCTTGGGACTGGGACTCTAGAAAGGGGGCTCACGAGAGGGGACGTTATGGTGCCTGGAGTGGCTAAAGTGGCCACGCAGAGGCTCTTTTCCCCTTCCCCAAATAACAGAATGGAGGCCACCCAATGAAACGGGAAGAAGGTTCTTTGGGTTCCTGATGCAACCTGGGCTTCCTCTGGCTGGCGACCAGCATGGCTAACCTTCAAAGTGGGCCTAGGGAGTCCTGGGCCTTGCTGGTGGCGGGAGGGCCGGCTGCTGGGACACTGGGCTTCCCGGGGCGGTTGGTGAGAGAACTGGCTGCTGGGGGAGAGAGGCCGGGGGCCCGACCCGACGGTGCAGGGCTCAGGGTCTCGGCAGGGCTGCCTCAACAGAAGTGACCCCTGCTTCCCGTTGCAGGTGTGGTGCCCTTTGGCCATGAATCCTACAGGTTTCCAGCAGGGGAGCAGCAGCGATGAAGACCTGGTGGAGGTTGCAGAGGGAATGCTGGATTTCTCCATGGCGGACGACGTCCCTCCTCTGGACGGAGAGTCGGCAGAAGGTAACCTGAGCCAGCCGGCGATGCCTCTTCGTGTTTCTTCCACTGATGCCCTGCGGCTCCCTGGCTCAGCCAAGGCACGGTTGCCGTGCGGAGGGGAGGACAGTCCACATTGAATGCTGACCCAGTGGAACAGAGTCCCAGGAGACACGGCCTCACACGCTTGCCTGAATAGGAAAGAGTTGGGGATGTTTGGGGAGGGGTCGGATGTTCCGGGGATTCCGGTTACAAGGACAGCAGGCTTCCCTTGGGCAGACATTTAAGCAGGAGGTCACCAAATTATCATCTGTGCTGGGACCTTTTAGCTCCTGGAAATTTGGTGATATTTATGGCATCGTGGCTTGCAGTAGAGCTTTCCCACATTACACCAGAGTGATTGGCACCAGGGCTATCCACAGCTTTGCTCCTCCCAAGCCATCATGGCCTCGTGTTTGTGTGTGCTCCCAGTTTCCTCAAAGCCATCCAGAGTACTGCACTGAGAGATGAACAGGAGGTCCCACCAGTTCCTCTACTTTCCCAGACAGCTGATCCCAAACTATTGGGAATTCTCTAGATTTTATGAACAAGTGGAGACAGGCTTTCCACTGGACTGATTAAGATGACGAAGGCTGAGCTTTCAGACTCTACCTGGTGCACTGGGAGCAGAAATCTGGTGCCTGAGTTTGGCTCTGATCCTCTGTACAAATCCACAGAAGCAGAGCTGAGCTGACTGGCGCCCGGGGTCAGGGTTTCTGCACCCAGCAAGCCCAAGGAAGAAAGGCGGTGTGTCCATCCAACCCAATGACCTTTTCCTGCCCACTAGAGTGGGACTGAGCAATGGCAAGGAGTGTGGCAAATGTCTGTAGAGGGAAAATGCCTGCATCGACACGGGCGTCCTGTCACCTCTGGTGGGAGCCTCGTTTTGGTGTCTGTTACGTGCCGAGATCCTGAAGCTCTTCCTCGAAGCCCCCTGGGGTCTTCTTAGGGTCTGTGGGCTGCAGCAAAAAAGAAAGCTGGCATTTAGCAGGCAGCAGAGAGGAGGCAGCTTGGGGACAAGGGGCTGTCAGCAACCAGAACGTATTTTAACAGACAAACTTGGTCTTGCCTCTAAGTTCAGCCAGGGGCTCAGAGCTTTTCTGCAGCCATTTTACTGCCCCTCCTTCCTCTCCCCTGAAGCTGCTTAAAGATTAACTCGGCTCCTCAGCAGACACCTTTGTTTTCCGGGGACTTTGCATTCCGTCCTGTGGCGGTTGGAAGGAAAGCAAGGTGGCGTCTCCTGACCCCTTGCAGGTTTCTCCTCGTACAGTGGAGGTGGGATGAACGGGCCGAGGCAGGTGATGGACTTTCTGCAGGAGCCGCTCCCAGGTGTGGGGACCTACGAAGACTTCAACACCATCGACTGGGTGCGCGAGAAGTCTCGGGACCGTGACCGGCACCGAGAGGTCAGTCGGGCTTCCTCTGGGATAGGACTGTGGCCAGCGGGAGGCCCGGCAAGATGGGTGGGCAAGGGCTTTGTGCAAACATTTTGTTTCAAGGGGAACAGAGTGGCCTGGAATCAGAGCTGGGAAAAGGCTGATCTCCCCCTGGCAAAGCGCTGAGGAGGAATGTGCTGGGCTGAGCAGGGAGGGAGGAGAAGGCGGCCCCTGCTCTGCATTGTACCTAGGGGGAATGTGGGCTGCCCCACGTGGAGCTCCCTGATCCCAGACATGGGCTCCCTGTGGGGGTGGTGTGGAAGCCTGCTCTAAACGCCTCCCCCTCCCCAGATCGCCAATAAGAGCAAGGAGTCCACCTGGGCCTTGGTGCGCAGCGTCAGTGACGCTTTCTCAGGATGGCTGTTGATGCTGCTCATCGGCTTGTGGGCAGGTGAGGGGCCGGAGCTGCTGGGCGGACCGGGGGTCTCGGTCAAGCCCCTCCCCTCCCATGGTGACCTTCTCTGCCCACAGGGCTGCTGGCCGGCCTGATTGACATCACTGCCCACTGGATGACGGATCTGAAGGAGGGGGTCTGCCTGCAAGGCTTCTGGTACAACCACGAGCACTGCTGCTGGAACTCGACCCACATCACCTTCGAGGACAGGGACAAGTGCCCTGAGTGGAGGACCTGGGCGCAGCTGCTGACTGGCAGAGAGGAAGGGGTACGTGTCGGGGGGAACCTGTTTCACCAGGTAGCAAGCCAGCCCTGCAGGTGAGTCCAGTGTGCTTCATGGTCCGCCCTCCCACTTCTCGCCCTGACAGGGAGCCCTGAGTTACGTCCTCAACTACTTCCTCTACATCCTCTGGGCGGTGTTCTTCTCCTTCCTGGCTGTGTTGCTCGTCCGGGGCTTTGCTCCCTACGCCTGCGGCTCGGGGATCCCAGAGGTGAGTCCACTCGTGACTGTGAGGCTGGGGGCTCTGGATCCTCCCAGGGCCTCTGCCCTCTTTCATCGCCCCCACTTCTCGTGACGCCCCTCCTTCCTTCCCAGAGCTGCGTTGCTTTCCCAAGCGCTCCTGCACTCGGGGTTGGCCAAGGGAGTCGGTGAGCCAAAGCCTTTTTGCCTTCCAGATCAAAACTATTCTCAGTGGCTTCATCATCCGAGGCTACCTGGGCAAATGGACGCTGCTCATCAAGACCGTCACCCTGGTGCTGGCCGTTTCCTCGGGCCTGAGCCTGGGCAAGGAAGGTCCCCTGGTTCACGTGGCCTGCTGCTGCGGCAACATCCTTTGCCACCTCTTCACCAAGTATCGGAAGAATGAGGCCAAGCGCCGGGAAGTAAGCTCTGGGGTGGGCTGCCATTTGGCGTAGGCCTGGCATGGACACGGGAATAGTCGTGAGCTGCCCGCATCTTGCCCCAAGGCTGCTGAGAGACGGAGAGGAATTGGGGGCTGCTTCTGGCCTCTTTTGCACCCATGGCTCTGCTGACGACTGTTCCCCGTGCAGGTGTTGTCGGCTGCTGCGGCCGCCGGTGTGTCAGTGGCCTTTGGGGCCCCCATTGGAGGTGTCCTGTTCAGTCTGGAAGAGGTAAGGACACCCCCTGGGGCCTTGCTCCGAGAACTGCCCCTGTTCAGACAGTCCTTGGGCTGCGAGCGGGCGGCTGAGTGGGCCCCTTCCCTCTCTTTTCTGCAGGTGAGCTACTACTTCCCGCTAAAGACCCTCTGGCGCTCCTTCTTTGCTGCGCTGGTGGCAGCCTTCACCCTGCGCTCCATCAACCCATTTGGCAACAGCCGCCTGGTGCTCTTCTACGTGGAGTTCCACAGCCCCTGGCATCTCCTGGAGCTGGTGCCTTTCATCCTGCTGGGCATCTTTGGGGGGCTCTGGGGGGCCTTCTTCATCCGCAGCAACATTGCCTGGTGCAGGCGGCGCAAGACCACCAAGCTGGGCCGGTACCCGGTGCTGGAGGTGCTGGTGGTCACGGCCCTGACCGCCCTGCTAGCCTTTCCCAACAAGTACACCCGCATGAGTACCAGCGAGCTGATCTCGGAGCTCTTCAACGACTGCAGCCTCCTGGACTCCTCCCAGCTCTGCGACTACCTCAGTGCCCCCAACAGCACCCAGGGGGATGACCTGCCTGACCGGGCTGCTGGGCCGGGCATCCACATAGCCTCGTGGCAGCTGATGCTGGCTCTCCTGCTGAAGATCTTCATCACCATCTTCACCTTCGGCATGAAGGTGGGGGAGCCCGCAGCCCCCCGAGATTGGCTGTCGGAGAAGGGTGGGGACGGGCGAGGGGGCTGCCGAGCATGAAGCCAGGAGAGGCCGGTTGGGGCCCTGGGCCCTGCCACAATCTCCCTCCTGAGCCGTGAGGCTTTTGGCTGTCTTGGGGTTGGAGGTCAGAAATAGTCTGACGTGCAGGTAGCCTTTGACTTGTGACCATTTAACAACAATTCAGAGTTATGACTGCCTCATAAAAAGTGACCTATGACCTGTAGTCACAAGCACACCTGCCACAGCACCCCCGCAGTAGCATGATTTCAGTTCAGGGGCCCCACATTTATGCCCAGTTGCCACATCCTGTGGCGATTTACAGCCTGTTTTGCTGATTTCTGGCATAAAACACCCATTGGGGGAGCTGGATTCACTTAATGACTACTATGATTCAGTAATGACCACTGTAAAAATTGTCACAACATCAGGTCCAACCGGACTTACGAGTATAAGGGCTTACGATGGAAATTTCAGTTCTGGTCGTGGTTGTAGGTTGAGGCCTCCTGCCGCTTGACCCGGTGGCCGAACTGGGGCCGGAGGAGACGGGCTCTCCCAGCCCTCCCGAGGGCCCGTCTGCGCAGGCCTGGGCGGCCTCTTCCCCCGGGATGAGGTGAGGCTGCCCCTTGATGCCAGTTTCCCCTGCAGGTGCCCTCGGGCCTCTTCATCCCCAGCATGGCGGTGGGGGCCATTGCGGGCCGGCTGCTGGGCGTGGGCATGGAGCAGCTGGCCTACCACCATCCCGACTGGCGGATCTTCAAGGGTTGGTGCAGTCCTGGCGCAGACTGCATCACGCCCGGCCTCTATGCCATGGTGGGGGCTGCCGCCTGCCTGGGTGAGTAATGAGGGAGCCCATCCAACTGGGTGGGTACCTGGGCATTTCCAGCTGCCCTTGAGTTGCAGACCCATTGTGGCCGAGAAGGGGCAGCTGCCTTTAGACGAGTGTAAATGTGGGGGGAACAAGGAGGGCTGCTCCCCCGCTCCCCCCCCCAGGCCTGACCCTTGAAAGAGGCTTTTCAGCATGATGGTTGTGGGCCATTGAGCTCAAGCCCAGAGCAGCCTCAGGGACAGTGAGCCTGAGGGTCAACTGAAAGTGCTTTGGCCAGATCTGGCTGCTGGCCGTAGAGAAAGGCCTGACCACAGAAGCCCCTCCCAGTCGCTGTTCATTGAAATAGGCCCTCCTGAGACCTCCCTGCTGATTTCATGATGTGTTGATTCCCTCTTTCTGGGAAGGAGGGGGGCGGGCAGTGGGGCGGGCGAGGGCAGAGGACGGAACAGCTGGGCTAGAAACTGAAGAAGCTTCTTTAGGTAGCTTTTTCTTGCCTTTTTTATTCTTCTTCGCTTTTATCCCTTTGTAATCTTTTTCTGTGTTTCTGTAGTTTTTAAATCTTTCTGGTAAAAGAAATGATCCGTAAAGAGATAAGCGTCCCTCTGGCTCTTGCAGGCGGAGTGACCCGCATGACCGTCTCCCTGGTGGTCATCATGTTTGAGCTCACGGGAGGGCTGGAGTACATCGTGCCCCTGATGGCAGCTGCCATGACCAGCAAGTGGGTGGCCGACGCCATCGGCCGGGAGGGCATCTATGATGCCCACATCCGCCTGAATGGCTACCCCTTTCTGGAAGCCAAGGAGGAGTTCAGCCACAAGACCCTGGCCATGGACGTCATGCGGCCCCGGCGCAGCGGCCCCGCCTTGACCGTCCTCACGCAGGACAGCATGACGGTGGAGGAGGTGGAGACCATCATCGGCGAGACCACCTACAGTGGCTATCCTGTGGTGGTGTCCAGGGAGTCTCGGCGCCTGGTGGGCTTCGTCCTCAGACGAGACCTGGTCATCTCCATGGGTGAGCAGGCCCAGAGCACCCTGGCAATGCCCGAGTGTGGCCGCCTCCATTTCCCAGGTGGGGTGTGGGCTGCCCCTCCAGTTCTGACTCTCTCTTCCCCCCCACCCCAGAAAATGCCCGGAAGAAGCAAGAAGGGATTGTCAGCAGCTCAGTTATTTATTTCACGGACCACTGCCCCCCGCTGCCGCCCTGCTCCCCCCCCTTGCTCAAGCTGCGGAACCTTCTCGACCTCAGCCCCTTCACTGTGACAGACCAAACCCCCATGGAAATCGTGGTGGACATTTTCCGAAAGCTTGGGCTGCGCCAGTGCCTGGTCACACACAATGGGTGAGAAGGGGCCCTGCTGAGCTTCCTTCCCTTGCGCTAGGCCACTGCGGGCTCAGAGGGATGGGAGGGCCGTCTTCCTCTGGGGCATTCACTGCAGCGTAAGAGCTGCCTTCGCGTGACGCGTGCCAGAGTCGCAAGAGATTGGGGTGGGCAATGGACAAATAGTGTCACCGCAGCCGGTGAAGGGCCCCGATTCCCAGACTTTCTCCAACGGGGCAGAACGGGGTAGGTCGCACCTCCAATAAAGGAGTGGAAGCACTTTAGCTGGCCGGGCCCCTCCTGGTTTTGGGAAGCTCTTTGTGTTTGTTTTAGGACTTCAAAACGAAAGACAGGACAATTCAGTAGCAGTAATGAAAAAATATATTGTGTATACAAATTATATATGGCTGATAGCAAAATTCTCCACTGCTGAAAAAGCTGACAAGGAATTCAGGGGAGCCCAGAATGGCAGCTCTTTAAAAAAAATGCCCCATGTGGAAGACTCGGGTGGCTCCTCCTCTGCCAGGCCTCGAGGTGTCACCCAGGCTCAGTCAAGGCCCCCTTCCCTGTGCCAGCAGCCCGGAAGGAGCTCCAGTGACCGGGAGCCTCCAGGCAGGCTATTCTCTGGGCTGGTGGAAAGGTGGCCCCGTTGCCTCTCCCTCCACCATTGTGGCTGAACTGATCACGGGGCAGAAGGGAGCCCCCGTTCTCCACTGAGGTCAGTCGCTTCTCCCTTTCTTTCAGGAAGCTGCTGGGGATTATTACCAAGAAGGACGTGTTGAAGCACATAGCACAGATGGCAAACCAGGATCCAGACTCCATCTTGTTCAACTGAAGCCCGGGAGGGGCCGGAGGCTTTCCTCTGCCCCACGGACGTTGGCCAGAGGGACCTGAGCTTTGCCTCTTTTTACTGAGGATCCAGAGCTGTCTTCAGGTTCCCCGTGTGGAGCAAGCGATAATCATGTTTTATTTTTTTCTACAAGATAACCAATTGCACTATGTAATCTGTGGAAAGTAATCTCCTCTCGGGAAGGAGAGCCTGATTGTAGCCTTGTTGGGGAGCTGCGCTGGGAAGGAGGTTCCACGCCAGAGTAAAAGAATCAATCTAACTGAGCCGGCAGTGGCTGCTTCTTGCCTAACCCAGAGGGGGGCGTGGGGGGGGAAGCCCCTCTAAATTGGTATGGAAGGGTGATGGCCGGAAGGTCAGGTTTGGGCTGCAGCAGCCCTTCCAGGCTGCCCAGAGCATGCGCAGCAGGGCATCGCATCCAGGGGCTCATTTTCCTGCCTCTTCCCAAGTGGCACCAGATAACCCCAAGCCAACAAGCTGAACCTCCGGGCAGTCTGCTGCCTCTTCTTGCAGCTGCCCAGGAACAAGGTGGCAGCTGCAGGAGCAGCACTGCTGGCTTTGCCTGGCCCAGCCCGCCTGGCCTCCTGAAAGCCTCTTGCCGTGGGGCGTCCCCCTCTTTGGGCACAGGGGCAAGGGGGGAAGAGGCCAAAGGGGAAGAACCGCCTGGACTGGGATTCAAGACAGCTGGGCCAGGTTCACGCACCACACTACCATGACTCATGGCTGACAGCCTAGGGTGTGCGTTGTCTTTCGGAGAAGCCAGAAGAGGCCCTGTGGCCAAGGAGGTCGAGTCAAGGGCTGCTGCCCCAGTCCAAACGTGGGGCTCACACCGGTTAGAAACAGAGTGCTTCCTGTACTGTGCCTCTGGGGATTGCACTTGCCCACCCTTTCAGGGTTCGTAATGGCAGCCTGCTGTTTTGCCTCCGTCCCACAGTCTGGCTAGCGAATGAAGCCACAGCCTAGGTGCATGTAGCACACTGAACCATGCACTGACAATGGGGGCGGGGGATGCAAAATGCTAAGCCACAAATAAAAGCTGGATGGAACCTGACCGTTCTGGATGCAGCTCCTGAACAACACGATCCCTCAAGAAAACCAGCCAAGGAAAAAAGCCATTTCCCACCAAAGTCCAGGACACAGACCCGAAGATCAACCTCCCTCCAGGAAGGGCTAGGGAGATTCTTGGGCTGCCACCCAGGTCACCCAGCTGGCACAGGCTCCGGTTGGTCCAGGTCAGCCATCTTTGGCTAGGGTATACTCAGTGCTAATGCCATTCAGGGTCACACCCAAAGTGTGTGCGGGGAGAGGCAGCGGGAAGGTGCACCCTGTGCCTCCCTGGTGGGGCTCGCTTGCCCAGAAGACACACTGACCTACGTTCTTGCCCTGGAAATAAGAATTGTGAATTGCCGCTTGCTGTGTGAGCAGCTCAGCTTGTTTGAGGCACAGGAGGAGGGAGCCCAGAAGTGGTCCTCCCTGGCAGGAGGAAATCCCACATGTCTCAGCTGGAGTGATGGGAGGTAGTGGAGAGGGCAGGAGGTCGCATGGAGAGGAGAGGAGGGCTCTGCAGCAGAAGGCACCGGGGCATGTCCAGGAGAGTCAGAAGCCTGGTAGTTGCCAGCCTGCTCAGCTCCATCACCTTTCTGGCTGCTTCAGAGACATGGCTACAATGGAGCATCTCCCCATGGCGCAGGGTGTGCGGTGGAGACCCACAGCAAACAAAGAGTTTTTGAAGGGGCTCCAGCAGCCTCCCAGGGTCTGCAGAATGCAAGGGAGTCTCTTGCAGCAGGAGGGCTGCAGATTCCCCTGCCCCGCCGCCTTTGCCTCCAGGGCAGCTTGGTCACTACCACTAACAGGAGAAGGAACAGTGATGTGGAGCATGGGTGTCCTCCAGTGCTTCTGCGTGGGGGGATAATGAGGCCCCAACGCCAGGGCTCCCTTGGGTGCAGTCCCCCAACGTCACACATCAAGGCGGAAGGCTCCAAAATAGCTGCCCGCCTCATCGTCGTAGTTGACGTCCAGCGACGAGACGGAAACAAAGAGCTTGTCACCGGCTTTGAGGTCAAAGAGGCCTCCCTGGTAAAGGGCATGGAGCCCATAGGCTGCATCCTGTTGCCAGCACTTGGTACCCACGCCCTTCAGCAGGAGGATGGTCTGCCCGTACACACTCTGGAGATTGATGCACTGCACCAGCTGGTGGCCCAGGGAGCGGGCATCGCCCCCCTCAGTAGGGTAGCGGAAGTAGATCTGGGCATACACGTAGTACTTGCCCGCCTGGCTCACCTGCAGCTGCCCGTCCTGGTAGGTGAGGTTCTGGAGGTGGGCATGCATGGTCCTGCTGGCCCAGTGGCGGATGGGATGCTGGCAGGACTGCTGCAGGTCCTGGAACACCGGTCCCAGGCCTCCTGGGGAAGAGACCCAGAAAGTCACCCCAGGTGGTGGAGGGGATGTATACACAACCCTGGAGCTTCTGGGAGGGAGGGAGGGGCTGTGTTTGTGAGGGCAAAGAGCTGAGAGAAACCTAGGAGCCTCACAGGCTTTCCAAGGACAAAAGCTCACATCCAGCCAGCCCTCCTTCCCTCCCTCTTGAGCCGAGCAAGGCCCTGCTCCAGCCCCTCTCTGGGAGAAGCTCAAGCGAGGCCCAGCTGCCCCCCCTCCCCCTGGCATTAAGGGAGCCTGCCACCTCATTCTTTGCCCGGCTGTAGAGAGGCAGGCAAAGGAGAGGCCCAGGGGGGCCAGCAAGGGCCAACCGCGAAGGAGCACTTGGTGAGCAACTGAGCCCAGCCAGCCCCCCAGCACTCAGGACACCTCAAATAGGGCGCCCGAGCCAAGGAAAGGGCCAGCCGTCTGCAGACTCACCTGGCTGGGAAGGGCTCGGCCTCCTGAGAGTGAGATGTGCCAAGGGCCGGCTGCCCAGCTGCCAGCTGGAGTTCCTCTGCTTCTGAGAGGCACTGACTAGGAAGGAAGGAAGGGGCACAGGGCAGCAGAATGAGAGAGGGAGGGGAGCTGCTTGCTCATCTCTGGGGGTCCCTCTGCAAACAACGTGCCCCTTACTCTGCCTCCTGGCAGGTTCTCCCTCCCCTCCAGGTCTGGCCAGTCGCTTTGCTCCCCATTTGCAGACTCACCCCTTGGGGTGCTCCTTCGGATGACATTTTCAGTAATCTGGAAAGGAATGAGATGAGGAGACTTAAGGCGTAGGTCCAGCGCTCCCTCCAACGGGGGTCATTCTGGATCCCCCCCACCCATGGGGTCAGCCTCCAAGTGGACGGGGGGACATGCAGGAGCCCTTTAATAAAGGCGGACTGCCTGAGCAAAGCTGTGGATTCAAGAGGTGGGTGGAAACCGACAAACAGGGCAGGGCAGGACAGGGCGACAGATGCCCGGCCAGAGGGCGAAACGCTGCTTGGGTATATTTCAGAGAGGACTGGCCTACCCCCCCCCCCCGTTTCCCCTCAGGCCTCCCTGCAGCCCCACAACCTGAACTCCTTGACTGGGCTCAGGATTTTGGGCTCCGGAATCCCAAAGGAAGCAGCAACGTGGAGAGGCCTCTCACCATGGCAACGTAGTCCTGGATGCCGAGTGCCAGCCTGAAGCACGGCTGGCTGCTCATCAGCTCCTCCAGCTCCGAGAGCTCCTGCAGCCTGTTGAGCAGCTGGAGGCAGCTCAGCTCCTCTGAGGTGCCCTGTGTTTGGGCTTTGAGCTGAGAAGGAAAGGCGGAGGGGTCAGGTGAGGGGTGCCAAGGGGTAGTAGCAGCTGGGGGGAAGGGGGCTTCCCACTGCTCTGCCCACTCGGGCAAGCGGCCTGCATTCAGACCTGCCACCTTTGCTACGAGGATGCCCATTTAAGGACATGGCAGAGACCTTTGCTAAGTGACAAGGGGAATTGCTTTTCAATATTCCAGGGGGAACAGGACCCCTGGGGGCCTCCCTCCCCTTGCCATGAATCTCCCCCAGCAGTTGGAAAAGGCAAACCCAGCCCAGATGCCCCAGTGATGACTCACTCTAGCCGGCACGCTGGGCACCCAGCCTGAGACCAGGAACTGGGTCAGGTTTTGCGAAATCAGCACTAGCTGTAAACAAAGGGCTGCACACACAATTGCTGCTAGGCTTTGGCGACGCCAGTCAGCACGTATCCTGGGCCAGAGCTCCCACAGGACCCCCCCTAAAAGCTTGCTCAAAAAAAGCCTCTCCCCACGAATGATGAGGGGCACATGGAGATGCCCCCCTTTTCGCTACTGCAGGATGGTTCGACTCCTTTTGCAGATGAAGGGCTCATGTTTAACCCCCAAGTGCCCTGAAGCACCCCAGCCACAGCCAACCACGAATGCTGTTCCTGGATCTGCCTGGGGGAAACGCCACCCTTATCTGGCTAGAAAGGCTCAGAGTGCTCCAGAGCCAGAGACAAGGCGGGGGGGGGGGGTCTTTGCGTAGGCCTTGTGAGGAGCCCTTCAAAGAGGCCTTCCTAGCAGCACAGGCTCCCTGTGTGTTTTTGCAATCTCAAAGATTTGGCATGGCAATTAAGAGAAAATGAAAGCCAAACTAAGCCTGCAAGTTGCTTAATTCAGGAAACTTTGGTCACACCCATCCTTCCCTCATCGCAAAACAAGCACACGCACGCAAAGCCCTTGCCAGCCCTTTCTCCCAAGCGATAGCAGGATTGAGGGCTGGGCAGAGAAGGCCTGCAAGAGTAGCGTTGTAAACATTGTGAGCAAAAGGCCTCCGAAACTGGTACACAGCACAACCACTAGAAGCTGCCTTTCCTTGCAGGACCTTCTAGCTGGGTCTGGGGTGACAGTGCAGGCCCCAGGCCCCAAATGCCAAGGGGAAAGGGGTGCACGTGGCAGCTCCCCCCAACCCTGGGCAACTTTCTGTTTTGGAAAGTCTGTAAAAGTTTTAAGGGCAGATTCCAAGAAGTGACAAGGAAGTGCCTTTCCCAGCAAGGTTAATTATTATACCCAAGGTTTTCCTCCAAGTCAGGGCAACACCTTGAGGGCCCAGCACAGCGGCCATCAGCTGTCCCCTTGGCTCAAGAGGAAGGCTGGCTTCTTGTCCCAACATGGCCACCTCTGAGAATCATGGAACCCCATTCAGGCCATCTGATGTTATGGGCCAAGCGTCTGACTGAAGTGAGGCCCCGAGTGTCACTCTCAACCCCTCCAAGCCTGGCCAGGAAAGCCCCAAAGAGGCTACAGTGAATGCTATCCCTGCCCCTCGACAGCCCTCCAACTAATACTCCCCACAGCATTGACCAGTGGAGGTGGGCAGAAGCAGCTCAGACCCTCCCTCTTGGCGGAGCTGGAGAACCCCTCCCCCCTCCTTCTCCAACCAGGGTGGAGGGTTTGTGTTGCTACAGGACCAGGCCAAGTCTCTCTTGTAGACACTTTTGTCCTGGAACCCACAGCTCTGGTCTTTCCAGCAGCCAAAGTTCTGGGGAGGAGCAGATCATTGGAGGAGGTGAAAGGCCGGCCACTCCATGACCCACAATCTCCCTTGCACCTTATCTTTGCCCTTGGAGGCATCAGGCCCCTGGCCACAGCTCACTTGCCCTCTGGTCAGCTCTGAGAGGCGGAACGGATTGGGGGTGGGGGCAGCCAGGGCAGGGTCCACTGTGAGCATCCTGAGCAGATGGGCTGCAGGAACAGATCCCGCAAAGGGAACACATCACATTCGGCTCCCTGTTCCAGTCAAATGGTTTTTACATCATTAGGATTTTTTTCCTAATACTCACTTGGATTCTGCTTCCCTGTAAGTTCGGTCTGTTGTTATTATGCCTCTCCTGCAGGTCTAGTCCTCCTCCCTGTGGCCTCTCCAGCTCCTCTCCACCCCGAGGCACCGTTTTTTCTCTCAGCACTGAACATACTGGATCCTTTCCTCTCTCTGCCCCACTCTTGATCACCCCTCTTCCCTGCTCAGCCTGCAAGCAGAGGGGTGGGGGCTCCAACCAAGGCAGAGTGCACAAAGGGTTCGGGTTAACGTGATTAGAAATTATATTTCTCTATTAAACCAGTGCTTTTCTTTCTTTTCCTTTTCTTGTCTTTTTTTGCCTCCACTCACCCTGCTGGCTCACATTCAGCTGGCAACCTTCTACTCTGCCTAGATTTTTTTCAAAAGTATTGTTTCCAAGCCTGGTGCTCCTCCACTTACATGTTGTATTTCATTTTTGTGTCCTAAACAAACAATTTGGGACTTCTCTGTGTTGCCTTTCACTCTCTT